GGGCTCATCACAACGCCACAGGTCGATTTTCACCTCAGCGACAGAAAACTGCAGTCTGGAACACCAGCCCCTTGTGCTGGAGGCATCGCCACCCCGAGCCCCTTCGACGGCAGGAGAGAGCTCCTGGTCACCACAGGCGCAAGAAGGAACCAGAAATAGTTCTTCTTTTTTCAGTGCTATTTGAGAATGGCTGTAGTTAAACTTGATTCACCATTTCTTACGTTTAAAAAAATATAGTTCACACTAAAGTATCATGTAAACATTGTTTAAATAACTGCTGGTGCTCAGGCAGAACGGGGCCTTTACGAACAACAGCGGGCCGTGGGCTGGCGGCGGCGGTCGCTGGCGCTGGGTGTGAGCAGGCAGACCCCAAACAGTCACACACCACGCTACAGCTTTGGATTACTTGGTTCCAGGATTCCCAAGCCAAATCTTTCAAAGCGCAGGACAACTTTGCTACTGTTAATGCTGAAAAGAGTGGGGAGGGATAAAGAGTTATTTAACTTTTCTTACAAAGCTACAGTCCAATGACAGAAACTAAAATGAGTTAGATCCTGATCTACAACTTCAGAGCACCCAGAAAAGAGGCCTAATGAAGCAGTAAATGCATGAACTTACTCATGGTAACCTCATCAGTGGGAACAGCACAAATTTGCCTCAATTTGGAGAAACGGGAGGTGTTCCACAAGTCCCTAAGGTGGGTAGGAGCCCAACACTTGTCTTCAAGGGGCACTCTGTTTTCTTGCAGCAGAAGGGAAGGAAAAACTGACTTACAGAATTTTCTTTTAAAGAGAAAGGGCCATTTTGACAAGATTGGACACCACTTGGAAACACCCAGTAGAACAAACCCAAAGCCATTTGTGCCCCTTTATAGACTCCAGCAAGGGCATGAAGATATTTCTTCCTTCAAAACATCTCCACTTCCAAACACTCTCCTGCCCCCACTGCAGAGCAGGCGTGGGCGTGTGAGCTCTCACAGGAGACCTTGGGGGACAGTGACTGCGTGGGGGTATTTGTCCTCACTGAAGGCAGTAGGAACCTCCCTGGTTCCTGGTGCACATTCTCCTCTGTCCCTCTCCTCTCTCCTCTGGAACAAGATGTTTTTTCAAAATTATGAATCGCTAAAGAATGAAAAAAGACCTTTTCCAAAAAGGCACATGTTTCTGTGTTACCTACGGTTCTGCAAAGCCCCCAGCGTTAAGTTGTCCTTGCTGAACAGAGGATGTAAACAGAAGCAAGTGATGAAATTCACAGCAGGAGATTTGCAGGGGGGAGGAACTGAAGGGTGCTCTTGTTTTCCTCCTCTATTACACAGCATTGTGGCTGACCCAGTTCTAGACACTGTCTGTGGCCTGGTCCCCCTGCAATCTGCTCCAAGCAGAGCCAGGCCCATCCTCTTTCCATCAAGAACTGCACCAACTTCATCCAGCCCCTGACCAGACTGACCCTGGCTTCAGTGCTGGCTCTGGCCCTGGAGCCCTGTTGGTCTGCAGGGTGAGTGGAGGACAACAGGCTGCTTGCCTCGACCACAGCTAGGAACCTGCACCCCTCTGCCTGGGGAGACCTGCAGGACGTGCACCAGTCACAGCAGTCCCAGGCAGGACCCCAGCACTGGCCATGCTGGCACCTGTCAGAGCAGATCCCAGAGCCTCTCCCGGAGCAAGGCACAGCCCGACGAGACGCTTCAGGACTGAAAGGTGGCCACGCTGTTAGACAGGAGCTTCTTGCAGACAGGAGTTGTTATTCAAGCTAACAGCCCACACCAAGCGGAAAAAAGGCAGAAAAGGAGAATTCGGATAAAGTGTTGATTATGTCCATGGGTTAATTTCGTGGTTTGTTTTTGCTTTTTTTAAATAGAAGGTGATTGTCCAAGTTGCCGGTTAGGATACAACACATGGACGCATGCAAGGTGGAGCCCGTTATTGCACCAGTAGCTACAACCTACAAAGAAACGTGGGAGGGAAGGGAAAAAGACACCATGAGAGTTAGTTTTCAGTTATTAAAAGCAAGCCCTTGAGAACTACATATTATAAAGGTTACACCAGAACAAAGCATGGGGTTAGTGCAGTGCTTCCCCAAGGACCCGTCGGGAGGGACGTGCATGTGTCCACAGAGGGTTTTGAGTGTGAGGGGTCTGTGGCTGGCACGGGCAGGGAGCCTCCTGGGTGGGACTGGGATGGGAGGCAGCCTGCAGGGCACAGGCAACAGTGGACCCGCCCGTGCCTTCCTGTCAGCACGCACGGATCCAGCTCTCAGTGCCAGGAGCTCACACTGACACCTGAGGTGCTTCTCCCTGCTAAATGCTGTGAGCACAGAAAAAGTTGTAATGTCTGCAGATGGGCATGAACCACTGGTGGGGGTGTCAGTCTGCCTACCCAGACAAAAAGAATGAGGGTGGCTACTGCACAGGCATTGTTCTGCAGTTCCACGGGCTGCTCAGGAGCAGCTCCCTGCACACACTAACCCCAAGGCAGCAGCTGGCATCGCCCTGGGGCTGGCAGCCCGGCTGGGAAGCTCAGTCCACTGCTCCAGGTCTGCTTCCCAGGCAAGGGCAGAGGCCAGCGGGTGTCTGCATGGGCCCCTGCTCTGCTCTGGGGTGTTGGGTGACCCGTGGGTGAAAAGATGTCCCAGCAGACCCAACACAAGTGGATCTTACTGTGTAGGGAAGTGAGGGCATGGAGGAGCTGACACAGAACCACAGCGTGCGGGTGCAGTGTGTCTCTGGAGAAAGGAAAGCTGCTGCCAAAGGCCACTGCTCCGTCACAGATCTGGCAAAAGGATTGCTGTCTTCAAAATGTAACGTGACTTAAATACCCAATCTGCCTTTGAGGTGAGGGAGGATTAATTTTACAAAACATGAGGAAATGTCACAAGTGCAGCTGGATGACTTGCAGGGACGGGTGAAGGGGAAGCATGTGATGGAGGTAGCTGGGTACAGCCATGGCCAACGCCAGCTCTGCTGGGCAATGGGGTGTGGGAAGCTTGAGGACAGAGGAGGAAAAAACTATCAAGTTACGACTGAAGTCATAAGGTCATGGTAAGAAGCAGCAGTTACATGCAGGTCCCTTTTTTAGCTTAGATTTTCTTGGTTTGCCTTTAATGTTTTATTTTAAAAACCAGGCAGCTGACATCCCAAGGGCTGCAGTGTGGCTGTGACAGTGCTGCTGGAGCCGGGAGTGCTCGGGGGCAGGACACCTCCTGTCACAGCAGGCAGGGCAGCCTCTGAGGGGGCAAAGATGCAAGGCAGCCTCAGCCCATTGCTGTACACACAGAGATCCCCACCCAGTGCAAGGAGAAGATCCCAGACAGCTCTGCTGACCAGTGAGCATTCGGGCTTCGCTGGTACCAGCGTCCTTCTGTGCCAGGGTGAGGCACGGCCCGGGAGGACTGTCCCATGTGTTCAGGTTGTTAGAGATCACAGTGTGTCAGGGACCCAGTACAAATGTTAGGGAAATTGCACAAGAGGCCAGATGGTGACATTTTCAACCAAAATCCCAAACAAGCCACACCCACCAAAGCACAAAACGCCACGACAGTCACCACAGAATTAAAGAATCAGTTAGGTTGGAAAAGACCTTTAAGATCATCGAGTCCAAGCGTATATGAGCAAACAGGAGCTTCAGTTAGTTAGAAGGTATTGCACAAAGGTTATGAAGGGTTATGGGAGAGAAAGGGATAGAAAAAATATATCCATAAAGAGAGAAAAAAGAGAAAGTAAATACTAGAGGTTTAGGAGATTAAAATAAATGCTGAGCAAAGTACGTGGTAGATGGGCACTGGTCACAAACACATCTGATCGCCCCCAGAATTTACAAACGCTGAGGTCACCAAGATGTGACCTCTGCCTAACAAACCCTCGGGGTGTTCCTGAGGCCTCCTGGCCTGTCCTGCCCCGGGGCTGGGCCCAGCCTGGGCACTGGAGCCCGGGGGAGCTACGCGGGGTGGCAGCGGGGGTGTCGGACACAGAACTGCTCGGGGTGGGGGTTCTGCTGCTTGGCTCCAGGAGTTGTACCTGCTTTGCTTCCCCTAGAAGTGGAAGTGGGAACCGTCCTCTGAGTGGCAGCTGATTTGTGAGAGGGGAGGCTGAAGGTTTTGGGCCTTGTGGCTCTACGCTCATCCAGCCTGAACTGCAGTGAGTTTTACACTCTGCTCTGGTCTGTAGTAACAGGTATTGTGGGACGTGCAGTCAGAGGGGTTGAGGGACCTCTTCCAGTTCTGACAGGTGACAGCTGCTTGACCATAGGAGACCTTTCTTCCCCAGCTGCAACACAGAAACTAACTTTGAAAGTATTACGATCTGACAAGGATTTATGGTGGCTTCTCATGATTCACCTTTCCTTGGTCCAGACCTCGACGTAACTCTAACTCAGAGATTAGTCCAAACATTCAGTCCTAGCTGTCAGGTTGCTGCATTTTCAGCATTTCTAAATCCCTTGAGGTGTGATTGCCACCTACTTTGGCTTTTCCCCAGAAGTAATTTTTTCCCAGTCTGGACCAGGGCTGCATTTCTTTATCTGGCTGTGCAAACTGGACACTCTTCTGCAAAGTGGAGTGTGTGTGTGGGGATGTTTGTCCCATACGCTCCCACATGAAGGCTATGGACTGAGACTCTTCTAAAATCTGACAGTTCCATTTCAAAGGGAAGTGGTGGCACATTCTTTGGACCTTCCCTTTTACAGTCAGTACCATTATGAGGGAAATTCTAATCACCTTGGGGTTAGTGTGGGCCCTTTCCAATTCTGGTGGTAGATACTCTCAGGAACCAAACACAAAGTGGGTAACTCATCTCCTGGAGGGAGGTGGATCTCTTAAAGCAGGAAGCTGACTGTCTGAAGCACACAAGCTTAATTGCATCATTTCCTAGCACCCAGAAAAGCAGAACAGCACGTGGTTACTGTCCCATCAGAGGCTGGACAGCCGCCAGGGAGGCAAAATAAAGCACAGAAGCAATCAGTTAGCACATTCTAAGTGACATAAATGTTCTTAACAGGAGCAAATACTCACTCAGCAGACTTCCAGAAATGCCCTGGGTGCGAGAGCCGACGATTCAGTTTTGGCAGTTTTTCAAGCATATCCATGAGGACAGTGAAGCTGGGTCTCTCACCGAGATCAAATGACCAGCACGCTGAGAGAATTTCCTGCAAAGGGTGTTTGTGGCTCATTATCTCCACTTAGCTCACAGGTCAGCTGTGCAGACCAAGTGACAGACAGCACGCTGCCCGAGCCCAGCCAGGGATCCTGTTTAACAGAGGTCTTGGGCACTCCTGCAGCCCAGCAGCATCCTGTGCACCCCTGGATGTCCACTCCCCTGCGACAGCTATGGGCACAGCCTCGAGTCCCTGAGCTGGTGCCCCATGCTGATCTGTTCTCTCTCCTGCTCTTTATCTTTAGAGTTGTAATATGAGTAAAAGAAATCCCTTTCTTTAAGCAGCTTCCTCTTTTCCTGATAAATAGCTATATGGAAGATTTCCTACAACTGAGGTACTTACGTTGACCTCCTTCCCCAAACTAACAGTTGCAAGGACTTGTTTCACTCCTTCGCCACTTCCAATCTGCCAGATGAGTGCCTCTGCAGGCTGGTTCTTGAAAGGCCATTCTCTTGCTTGGAGCTCATACCACACAGTCCTGCCAACATCAACAGACAAACTGAGCCTTTACGTGCTCTTAAGAGAAAGATGCAAACCCTGACACTGTTCCAATCCCTTCAGATAAGCTCTGGAAGGTCTGTGAGGCTGTGCAGCAAATCCCTCCCAGCCCACGCACCTCCTGCCCCCGATTTTTGCAGTGGGTGAGAAAAATGCATCCCAGCTAGAATCCTGAGTCTGTGAGGAGGGGTCACTGACCCACAAAGCTCAGGTCTGTAACAAATCTCAATTATCAAGCTCCTGTGATACTCTCAGGTGTTCCTCTCTTACCCAAAGGCATAGATATCTGCAGCTTTGGAGAAAGGCAGCTTGTCTTCATCTTTCCCAGGGGCCATCTCACGAACAATCTCAGGGGCCAGGTAGCATAACCAGTCATGAGGCAGCTTCAGTTCATTCTCCCTCCTGAGTTCAAAAGAAAGAGGCAGTACTGAAACACGACTGCTTCAACCAAGAAGCAGCCTGTGGACCACATCTGGGCTTCCCCTAATGCCTTGACTTTATTTAGTCAAATGTTTAGCTGATATTTCCTTTATCATTTTCTCGACATATTAAAACATATGCATGTGTTTAGCCTGACTCCCCAGCTCATTCTTGGACTTAAAGTTTAGTTTCTTCTGTGTTCTGAGCCTTAGTCCATACATAACTTCCTAACAATGTGCTACAGGAACTGTAGAAAGAATTCTGCTTAAAAAAAAAAGAAACCAAAGAAATAGTGCATATTCCAAAACTGTGTGTGTACTAAAGCAACATTCCTCACCTGTGCTGTGTAATGCACCAAAACATTCCCCTACTTGGTCATCCTATAAGTGGATCAAACACTGAAACCTCCACTTACCTTCCTTCCTGAACCACACCCGAAATTCCAAATAATCCAAAGTCAGTGATCACAACTTTCCCATTGTCATAGAAAACATTCTTGGATTTCAGGTCCTTATGTACAATCCCCTTTGCGTGAAGATACCCCATGCCCTGGGAAACACATGCAGAGATGTACATGGGATTTTTTTGTTACTTACAAACCTCTAACTCTGGGCATGCTTTGCTTTCCCATAGGGCTTTGCTCTCGTTATCCAGCATAAATGATTAACTGTAAGTGGGGACACAGCAGCTGTGGGGCTTCTGCAGGAAGGGCACAAGGGGAGTCTGCAGGGAGCAGACCTTAGTTCACTGCTCAGCCTTGGAGCTGCTCTTCACCCTCTGCACAGGGGATACTCTTAGTTGAAGCATTATGTGGCTGTGGAACTCTCAATTCTGAAGAAGTCTGTGTCAGAACAATGAACAACTGACACAAGTTTGCTTGCTAAGTTCACAGGATATTTCTGCCAGAAAACAGCAGTTCTAGAAAAGCTTCTTCAGTTGAGACGTATTGAAAGCAAGCACAGAAACAGTGTGCAAACCTGGCAGAAAGTGGGGTCTACTCAGCAAGCATTCACTTAGCTGCAGGTAGTACTGAAGAGGCAGGAGGGGGAGGACACCTGCCCTGCACACCTTCCTTCCTTGTGCCCTTTATCTGAATTCTCCCTCCCCAGCCCCTCCCTGACAAGCGAGAGGTCTCCAGGTCTCCTTACAGCCCCCTAGCTTACTGCCCACCAAATGAGCACTGTTCCAGCCAGCTCTGAGGATCTCCTGCTGCAGCCCCCCCGTTGGGCCACTGACACTTAGGGAGCCTCTGCAGCCCCTGAGCTCCTGCTGAGGCACTGCCCAGGACCTGGGTGTCTCGTTAGCTCCACGCGCCCTTACCTTAATGATCTCCTGTGCTATCTGCCTGGTCTTGTTAATATCCAGGGATATCTTGGGGTCCCTTACAAAGGAGTGAAGCGTTCTTCCTTTGCAGAAGCTACAGAAAAGAGGAACAACAGTCCTTATAAAAGTCTTTCAAATATTGGAGGGAAATTGAAATGTAAAAGTGGATGTTCATTTGGTTTTCTTATCATGTTGGCAGAACCCTGGCCCTCTCCCACAGCTGAGAAGTGCCACTTCGTAGAACTTTAAGGACCCAACTGATTTACATTTGTGTGGGTGTGCACAAGCACAGGGGATTTATTGTTACAGCGTGCTCATGGGCACACAACAAATACTTCTGTGTTTCTTCAGAGCCCCCATTGTTGCTGCACTGCTCCGACATCTGAAGTCAGATTTTCAAATTCTGAGAACCAGCTTCTGCTGCTGGTGCTACTGGTCGTTTGAGCAGGAAACTCCTCTTGGAACTGGCAATTAGAAATGCCCAAGCACCTCCTTGCCAGGCTGTGATAACGGCACGTCCTTGCCCTTACTTACATTCAGCCTGCATATGAACATCCCAAAAAGCTCCTGCTTAGGCCTAAGTGATCCTCGTCTCAATTAAAGACTGAAAACAGAAGAGAGGAGTTAACAGTAACGTTTTTGCCTAGTCAGCAAGTGTCCCTAAGAGGAATAAAAAGGAAGAGAGAACTGTTACATGATCAGCCTCACACATGGGTTTATTGTCACTTTGCTGAACTGGAACCATCTGGAAGTAGATGGCAGAGGAACAGCCTGTTCCAGAATTTTTTTTTTCCTCCTGCTTTTTGAATTTTATTATTTAAGAATTCAAAAATAAAACTAAAACTGCCAAAAAATAATTCATGTTCCCTAAAAGGAGAAAACCCTAGTACCCCAAACCCCCAGCTACACAGACTGCATTTATGCCTGCCTCCTCCTGACTGCAGTGAGAGGTTTATTTTTGTATGTATAAAATAAATATTATCTATTTATATAATATGAATATATTAAAAAATACCACTGTCCTCACCTGGTAATGATTGCTAAATGAGGAGGGTTCATGCATGCTCCCATGAAAAGTACCACGTTCTCATGCCGGGTCTGCCTGTAGTTCATCACCTCCTTTTTAAAGAGCTTGAGGTGATCCTGATTGTTCCCGTCGATCTCCAGGAGCCTGATGGCCACCTCCCCGTGCCACTTTCCCTTGTAAACCTTCCCCCATCGTCCTTGGCCAATAGGGTCTCCCAGTTCAATCTGTTCAAAGGGAATGTCCCACTCCTGCAGGTAGACGCTGGTCTGGCTGGGCTTGCGGTAAATCATCCCTTGCAAGTGCGGCCGCCTGTTGGGCAAATCCTCCACCTCATCCTCATCATCTTCAGGTTCTGATTTATTAGTCTCTGGTTCTTCCAGCTGTTCACAAAAAGAGAAGGGAAACATGGTGAGGGTCCCACCTGAGGGGCAGATGCGGCAAAGGCTGCTCTGAGAGAACTCCAGGGGCTCGGCTCTTTGTGTATGACTGCAGCTCTAGAAATACTCCTCACAGGGCAGAGTCATCTCGGAAGGCTACAAAAACCCAAACACCTTCCGTGTGTCAGTTCATGCAGGGGAAGACAAGAAAGGCTTTACCCCATAGAGAGGAGAATTTGTAAAACCAGCACTAACTACTGGCACTCAGCATCACTCAGGGTTTGGTCTTCAGTGTGAGGCAAAAGGCTACAGGGCATTCTAAAAGGAAAGGTCAAGAACCCCTTTGTTCTTCCAATAAATGTAGGGGGTTTTGAGATTACTAAAATTCTCCTGTTAGAGAGAAGTGCTCCAAAATTCCACAGCCTTTTCCAAAATCCAGACATTTCTGAAGTCATCAATTCTGTCTCTGCAGATATACTCACCCCTACAGAAACCCAGCTCAGAGTTCACAGTACAAACTGAACATGTGCTTAGGCACCACCACAGTCACAGACTCCTGTGAGGAGGTGTGAAAGGCTCTCCTACACAGAACATAAGCCCGTGCTTACAGCCTTTGCTTTGCAGGATCTGCCAGGAGGTGATGACCACTGGCAGGTAGTACCTGCACGTGCATTCCGTGCAGATTTGAGGTCTGCAGAGCATTTAGACCTTGCAGCTCCAGCATCAGCCCTGCAGATCTTCTAACATAAAAACAGCTGTGCCAAACTGAGCAAGCCAGAAGTTTGAAAAATACCATTTTAGCCTGAGCAGAAGAAGTTAAGTCCTGTTACAAGTATTTCATTGTTTCAGCCTAGCTACAGAAACTGAGTTTTCAGCTGAGATCTCTGCAGTGCAGAGTCCAGTGGAGCTGAGGCCAGTCACAGCTAGTCTGGGCTCCCGATTCCCGAGCCACGGCTTCTGCACTTCCAACGTGGCATCTCTGGCTGTGCAAAAGGGCAAACCAGAAAACCTACCTCTGCCTCACACTCCACTCGCTCTGCGTCCGGCTGGGGGTCGGCACTGGCGAGAGAAGACAGGTTGACAGTGAGAGGGGGTCTCAGACCCAGGGGGGTGAAACCGCGGCGGCGGCGCCAGCCACGCGGGCGGGAAGAGACAGACAGAGCCCAGAGCCTGACTGCCTCAAGAGCAGGTCAGAAAAACTGCTCCACTTGCCAGAGAAGGACTTTCTAAGCTTACTTTAGCAAATGAGGGACAAGACTTCAACGTGATTTTCGATGAAAGTGGCAGGAATTGATTGGGCAGTGGCATGGCTGTGTCACCACCACAGCTTCCAGTCCTGGCCACTCCCGGCCCCGCCGCTGGAACCCAGTAACTGAGAGCTGGCAACACAGGCTAAAAACCTGCACACCCTAGAATGCAGATCCTTAGAAAGTTGTTTGCTTGCAGCTAAGTGTGCCACGCTCTTTTAACTGTAAAACTCTAACTTCTGTTTCATCAGACGTTTCTGATCTTGGGAATGCACACAAAACCATGGGCATGGAGTTCTTACTGTCCCACTTACAGAAAGTACCATATTCAGCTTTATAAAACTGGGAACACCAGTATCACCCTTGCTGACTAAAATCACCCTCAGAAATTATTCTCAGGTGGCAAGTTCAGTTTTGGTCCTAACAGGGTGCTTTCAGATGGATCTGATGATTACCAGGGAAACATCATGCAAATTAAAGAATTTAAACCGCTACTTACTTAGTGTCTGCAGCTGCCTCTGCAGGCTGGGCTGTATGTGCAGGGCTGGGAATTTCTGGGAAAGTAGAAATATTCATGATGCACATTTTACACTCTCTAAATTTCTTATAGATTGGAAGCTTTAACATTGCAATACTGGTTATTTGATTCTTATTCAGGAATTATAAAGTAATCTCAGCCACAGACAGTCTGACCTTCTATCCATGTACAACTCTGCTCCTCTTCCCTGCTGCACACATGCCTGTGTACCAACCAAGCCCAGTCTTCTTCCCATTCCCCCACTTATCTGTAATGCCCCCCAAGGGCAGTCCTGGTCTGTGAACTGCCCACACACCTTTCAGGTTGCCTGGGACAGTCAGAAATAGTTAAATCCTCACAGAACTAGAATGTCTGAATTTAGTGCAATGCGTAACACTGGTCACCTCGTCTGCCCCGTGTCACCAGTACACAGGAAATTCAGCTTGGGTTGCAAATCCTTCCATATTTCAGAATAAATACTCTGTAGCTGGCATCCTACATCATCAATTCTCACTTTGGAAACAAGCAAGCTGTTTCTAAGGGTTTATGACCAGTTGACTGAGAAAAGTTTTTCTATGCAAATCCAACCTAGTACGTAAATGGCATCACTATCTCATATTAGGAGAGAGAGGCCTGAATTATATTCTAAGAGAAAGTTTGAATTGTTTTAGATGCCTTTTTTTTTAAAGCAGTATTATTGTTCTTAGGCAGCATGCAGAAGTTTACGAACAAGTCACTTTTTGGGAGCAGAAGCTGGTTAGTAGAATTAAAACCATCAACTCACCTGGGAAGATAAATTGTTGTCTATGCTGAATGTAGTAGGCAGCTTTTTAATTTTTTTTTTGTTTTTTCAAAGAACAGCAAAAATAATTACCAGGAGAAAAACAAACAAACAAACAAAACATGAAACAAAACACAAAACAGGTTAGAGGGGCATCAGTAAGTGCCCCATATGCATTTAATGAATTAGTCCCAGCTCACTGCTGGGAAACAGATTAGTAGATTATCAGCCTGCTTGAAGGAGTGAATTGCAGCACATGCATTTTTGGCAGACTGTGACAGCTGACACTTCTCAAGTGAAAGCTCTGTTACCAGTGAGCAAACAGCCTGGTGGGAAAACACACATTCAGACTTCAAGTGGCAGAAGCCAATTTAGGGAGCCCAGGGATGCTAAAAGGCAGGCCCATGTGAGGCTGCTGCTCCAATGCTCTCTCAGGTCTTCAGCTTTCCAGAGGTGCCCCCAGAGAAGCTGAAGCTCATGAGCCATCTGCAAGCATGTTTTTTTTATTTCAGTGAATTTGAGCAGAATGCCCTAACACCAAGTAGCTGCAGTAAAATCCTTGTACTAAACTGCTTCTGCTTCTTTTGAGTGGGCTAAAATAGCAACTTTCACTCACAGATCAGAAGCTTGATACAAAATTTTGAAGGCTAGAGGTAGCAGCTATTGAGCAGCACGTGACTTCATTTCCAGATCAAAGGAATTCAATTTATTCTCACTAGGTAAATCTTTGCCCTTGTCAGAGATTCTTGCCTCTATCAACTTTGGTACAGACTGCCCATTTGGGTTCTTAATCTGTAAAATATGTTGGGTAAATTCTTCCCCACCACATGTGTATGGCAGTGGTTTACAATGAGTGTTGTTGTTGGTTATCTTTGGGAAGGCACTGGTAAAGTCATTCATTCCAGTTCTCATTTTTATGTTTTGTCCTAGCAATTAACTTGTGATTTAAAGCCACTGGTGACCAAAGGGAGCAGGCAGCATGCATTTTACAATGCCATGAGAGAAGGGAGGAGAAAGAACAGTATTTTTTTTTAGTCCTTTTCAAAAAAGGAGAAACCAGAAAGATCAAATCATCTAAGAAAGTTGCCAACATTCCTCAATAATCTGTCTCCTGGAAAGGTATCTCACTGATACCACCTAAAAACTTGTAAGAACAGACCGTGTTCTTTTATCAGACAGCAAGATACACACTCACACCTTGCTTAAGACACAACCATGGATTCAGAAACCTGCATCTACCTATGATGTCTTGGGCAGCCTCTGCTGGCACAGAGGCCTTTCTGATCTTGGCAGAGCTCTCCTGGAAGAGGCAGGTTTACCTGGGAAGTTAAATCGTCCATCCCTCTGGCCCATGGGAGATGGGTTTGGGGGAGGTGTTGCACTGGGAGGGTTGGAAGACTGGAAAGGTGCTGGAGAAGATGGTGTGGATGAGGTTGTAGAAGAAGGATTACTGCTAGAGTCCAGGTGATTTATTGCTGGTGGATGCTCCTGCAAAGCAAGGAAAGTCACTGGTGAGGAAACAGTAAAAAGAAAGAAAGAATTCCCCTCAGTTTACTGAACAGCAGAGAAAGCAAATCTGCCAACCACAGCACAGCCTCGACCACAGCCTCCTTTTTCTAAGTGAGTTGGTAGCTGGAGCTGTGCACAGCCTGTGTTTTACAAGGAAAAAATGTCACATATCAAAGTCTCCTTGCCAAGTGAAAGCTCAAGGTGCCATTCTTGCTCCAACCAGCAAGATTCTGCTGCCACCTCTCCTTACTGTAGAGTGACTTACAGACACAAAACTCACTTCAGCCACCATGTACCTTTTTAGTTAGTGCTTTGGGAAGAGTTCCAAATTGTGGTTCTGTTGGTCTGTCTACTGGATTATTGATATCAGAAGGGACAGACTCTGTTCTTCTTATTTTTGTTACTAAAAAAAAGGTTGGAGAAGGGAGGAAAAAAGCTTTAATCAGTCTTTTTATTCTTTGATACCATCAGTTGCATTGAAATGACAAGAATTTGTAGATTACTTACTGGGAACTAATGATATTCTACAAGCAGGTGCCTCTTTAGTACATTTGTTGTGACATTTTAATCTGAAAGAGAAACATTACACGTTAAATAGCAACTTGTTCTCTCCCAAAAAGAGGAGCCTACCCTTAATTTGTAATTCTTATGCTAATCTCAGAGGGAGCTCTGGAATGCTCCGGGCCCCAGAGCAGCAGGCATTCACATGAAGAATCCCATTACCCCTGTCATTAGGCTAATGAAACCCATATACATATCTTAGCATCTGATTTATTTTTAATATAGTTACCTTCACTGGCTCTCATCCAGTGACAGTGAAGCACTAAAATCCCAGTGCTCTGGACTAACAACCCAGACAGAAGAAAAACTAAAATCCTTGCTGTTATTTAGGTATCCAGCTCCCACTACAAGGTGCCTGTGATCAGGTAGGAAGCCTGTGGCAGGGAAATATATTTAGTTCATCCATGTGTCAGGCTGCCAGCCTAAAGTGTAAGTTATGCCAAAGCATCTCTTTGCCAGTTCAGAAGCTGACTGAAAACATGGTGCTGCTGCTAAGAGTGCATCACATCACGAGATAGGTGTTACTGGCAAACCTTAATGAATCAAAGTTCTGAAAAACATCATCCTGTGCTCACCTGCAGTACTTACACTTCACCCCGAACATCATGCTCTTCTGACAGACTTGGCAAATCTGAGATAACCAAGACTTTGTAGAGAACCTAAGTAGAGATTGGGGGAAAACTGATGTTAACTAGTGTCTAAAGGAAAAGTAACATTTGTGGGTAGTGACAGACAGGCTGCACTTCTTTAGTTCTTTCTGAAAAGGGCAAACAGTGTTGTGGAGAAGACTTCTCACTTTTCTGATCAAAAGCAACTGAAAGAAGGCTGGCACCTGCTCCACTGGCCTCTTGATAGCTCCACACTCTTGGAAGAGGGCTGAGAAGTGCTCAGAGGTGTCTCTGACAAGGAGGCAGGGTGTGCATGAACACACAGCTCTAGAAGGTCCTCAAAGCTGCAGCTCAGCAATTACAGATCTGAAGCCTCATGCAGCCAAAGATACCCAAGTGACAGAGCATCACCTCTTTTCATAAAAACCAACCTGGAATTTGGCTTCACCTCCTGAAAGAAGCAAGGTCTCTGAAAGGGAGCTGCCAGCACACAGTCCAGGGGCAGGTCAGCTGCTGGTGCCCCTGCTCAGGGCAGCAGGACACGTCACGTGGTGCCAGGTTACACCCACCTGAACATCCCTGTGGGACTGTGGCCCAAGCAGTGGTGGGTGAGTGGTGGTGGGAGGGTGCCCCTTCTACCAGAACATTGAATGGAGGCGTTTGGTTGGCATTAGACCTGGCTGATCCCCTTTTGGTTTGGATTTGGGAAGGGGGGATGCAGGAAGCTACAGGGGAGGAAAAGGGCAATATATGCTCTTTGCCCCCAGGGAGGAAGGAGCAGCCCCCTGGTTCTGCAGCAGTGGAAGTGTTTCAGGGAGGCACTGGTGCTGCCAGCCCAGCCCCACCGCTGCGCTGGTCGTGACGCAGTCACCAGTTATTGCCTCTCTAAAAAGGATTTCAAGTGCATATATTAAAAAGAAACTAAGCTGAAATACATAGTGAAGGCTGAACGTGGCAACCTGACCCAGCTTCAACTATCTCAGAGTCAGGAGTGCTACAAACACACTAAAGAGGACACTCTGCTGGTCTGAGCCCTCTCTGTGTCCTCGGTGGCTCCCAGGGCGTGTCACCTACCTGTGTGTGACAGCTAAGCCAAAGTCTCTTCGTACCGTCTGAGGGGATCCTTGGGAGAGCTCTGATGGAGAACAAGAGGATGTTTTAGGGCAGCATTACTCACAGGGATGCTTACCAGACTAGACAGAAACAAAGGGACAGCTGTCATGGACTAGTGGCCATGGCACTGTCTGTAGCTGAGATTGGTTTGCCTTCTGCTGTAAAGCTACTAGGAGATACCACTCCTTGATTTGTTTCCACATGGAAGATAAGATTTGGTGGTGGAAACATAATTCATCTTTCTTTTTGTTAAATGGTTATGTTTTACATCTCAGGATTTGAGAAGTCCACCTGATTAGGTCCCAATCCCAATCAGTGTAACACAAACACCATCACCCCATTTCCATACAGTGTCAGTAGACTTCAGAATATTCTCTCACACTGCAGATTATTATCTTCACTTTATGGACAGGGACAGTGTGACCCAGAAGAATAAAAACATTTATATGAGATCACTTAGCTAGCTGTAAGTGCAGAAAGGGAGACCTGGACTCCAGAATGCCAGCCCAGCACTCTGGTGGTTATACCACATAACTTCCTAAAAACTCAAGTACTAAGGCTCTGGGATATTTCCTGAATGAGCTCTAGAGCCATGCTGCAAACCTGTGGAAAACTCAAATTTGCAAGCTTCAACCCAGCTTTGAGGCAGGACACTGCCAATGCTTACAAAAAGCCACTCTCTCTATTTGACCCTAGATGGCACCACATTCTTTTTTATCATTATTCCAATGAACTTTTAAAGGCATTTGTGGTCTCCAGCATCTCAGAATAGGTTGGAATGACTACTTGCTTTTCCAAGGAGTATTGCTGATCTAGTGTGGCCAGCCAAACACACAGTCATCTGAATTAATCATAATACAACAGTTAAGATGGAGAAATCCTTACTGATGAGTCCTAATAAGTATAAAAATGTTTGGAACTGAATGGGATTTAAAAGAGCCAACAGTATAGGTTTTAAAACAGACAATATGGCTAGATGCATGGAAGCACCAACATTCTTTATTTGTTTGAACTTATTCTAAATGCTCGTTTTATTTATTGCATAACTCCTACCACTCTCCCCAGAGAGATGGTCAGATTTCTGCTTGCATTTTCATTTTACAATTTTCTTTCTATGCTTTTTAATTTCTGAAAGTAATTCCTGGGATTTTTGCTTTAAAGGGCATTAGATAAACACATGGTGCTATAATGTCCCTTTGTAAGTGCCCTTACAAAAAGGTGAGACACTTTCCAAGAGGCCCATATCTCTCTGCATGAGCTTCCAAGGTCTGAGGCTGTGTCTGAGAGGGATGCACAGAGTCACATCAGGACAGCTGAAACACTAAATGGCACTGGTAGGTTACTGGGTTAAAACACAAGTCCTGTAAGCCATTAAACCCCCGAGTACTGCTCAGCAGCAGCAGAAGAAATTCCACATTTAAGCACGTGCTGAAGCTTTTCTCAAAGGTTGCATGCAACTGTCTAATTTCATTACAGAAATACTTGGCAATTAATATCTAAAGATACTAAACGGTTATATATTAAATTATTTCTAGTACCAAGAGGTATCAATGACAGCTGTCTGAAGTCACAGACAAGCAATTACACCCAGAGCCCTTGATTTAACCCTTTAAACATCAGTATTCCTTCTCCTTGCTTTTGCCATCTGAAGAAATACCAGATACTAAAAAGATGATGTAAACATCCTGCAGTTCTCCAGTATGCCAAGCTCCTGTTAAAGTTAACAGAAACTCTGGGCTAGAAGGGCCTATTGAGGACCTCCAGAGGTTGCAGAGGGATGATCTGCAGATGGCTGACAAGGACAGGTTCTTCTCTCTCAGCAACGAAACGGAGACAGCCCTGTAAAAATCTCTTACCGAACCTAGAGAGAAAAAAAACAGATTTGTTTTAGACATTCCTGTTCATGTGACAGGATACACACTTTGCTAGAGCAGAAACTCTTTCCTGAAGCGTTTGATGTCAGGTTTACAAACATCCCTGGTTTTGCACAGGCTCCTGAACGCTGCATAGCCAGCATTTTCCTGCCTGCAAAGGGCAGTCTGCTGGGCAGAGCTCCAGCCCCAGCCCGCGAGCGGCGGGTACGAGAGTGCTCCTGGATTTTGGCTGGCAGGGGAGAAGTGTGACTGGGGCTGAGCAGCTCAGTCAGCTGCCAGGCTCCAGGGAAGTGCCTGAACCAACACAATTCCTGTCCCACTTAATCGGCAGGACCTGGATCACAGCAGGACCAGGTCCTTACCACTGAATTTCAGAACAGAGCCGTGCCCTGGCCACAGACGTGAGCACAGTACTGCAGCATGAAAAGCACAGTCCTTTGCTGTTAATACTCACACCCAAAATCTCACCTCCATTCTGAGCTGAGCTACTTTCCCTTACATAAAAGTGCAGTTCTGGCAAAAAGGTCCTGAGTAGAACATGCTCTTTGAATTCTTCCAGATGGTCGAAGAGTTAGGATAAGTTGTAATGACCCAGTGCCTGCTACAGAATTTGGATGGTGACCTAAGACTCTGTGATGTTTAGGGGTAGCCAGAGTCCTTGGAAGGCACATTTCTTTCCTAGTTTCAACTACTGTTGAAATGTTAGATTAAAATCTTCCATCCTGCCTACACAAAAAAAGGATCTCTCAAAGACTGGGTCAGTCCAACTTAAGTGTAGTCTAAGACCATTTCTCTTGCTATGGAGCTTTAGTTGTCTATACAGTAATAAATGTGTTCTAAAGCTCACACCAGCAGCTAAATACATCTTAAGATAAAAACACTGAAGCGCACCAGCCACCTAAACTGTGAGGAAGATTTAAGGAGAGAAAAGAATTGTAGTACATGGAACTGGCAGATAGATGCTTGAGAAATATTGGATGAAGCCCTTTAATAGCAGCAGCCATCCCAACCTCTCCGGCAGGTGCCATTCCAGATAGATTCAAATAAATTTCCAGTAAAGTACACTATTCACAAGCAGGGTTTGTGGTTATCTTGGAGTACCCCACTGCTACAGATTCTCAGACCACCATGAAACCATGCCAAGGCAACTGGGGCCTGCTCTTACAAGTCAGAGCTGGAGCACTGCGTGCCCTTCGGTGTGAACACAGCCCACCAGTGCTTACTTTATAGGAGGAACTTCATCTATCCTGTTTCCCAACTGTGATTCGTGGGACTTGCTCCTCGTGAGGGTTGGAAAGTTAGGTAGCAGCTGAAAAACCTTCCGGCAAGGGGGAGGAGGAGTCCGTGGGGGCTTCAGCTTGTGCCGCCGCTTGGCCTGAGGGGTGCTGGGCGGGGTGACGGCCACGCTGTGAGGAGTCCTTGGCGTTAACCTTCCACTGTGTGCGGGGAACACAAAAGGGTCCAGGAGGTTTTCTGCATAGATAGAAGGTCCGTGGCTGGAGGCGAGGGGCTCCGAAGCTGGGGCTGTAGACAGGGAGGCAGCCCGTGGCTGCTGGCTGCTGCCCCGGGGCGGGTGCAGGGCTGCGGGGGCCCAGGCGGGGCAGGGGCAGTCGCTGGTGCCTGGAGAGCTGTTCTCCCGCCGTGCCTCGGGGAGGTTCACCAGCACGTCCTCTCTGAACTCCCCACCTGTTCACCAAACAGAACAGTGTCAGGGGTGTGACGGGCGTCCTGGTCTCTCCTACTTTCTCCTCTTTTACACTTTAAAGTGAGAACGGCAGTTTCTACCCTTCTTTCCTCTCTGTAGCTATGCACCCCAGTCAGGTCCCATGCTCTAAGATGGGCTGAGTTTTAAAATTGAAGGATGTGGGATATACACATCACGACGTAAAACAGGCACCCACATCCCACTGCAGACCTGTGCAGGTTTGGTGCCAGTCTGTTTTGATAAGTCTGCACACCCAGCCTGGCATCTGGTCTGCTTTTAGACTGGCCTTTGGTAAAAAAGAGGGAGCTCATTCCTGTTGGGCAAGAGAAATGCTAAATACCACCTAAACTAAGACAGGCCATTAGATTGGAAATCAGGAGAATCTAGGAGCTCCTGATACTCCTCCGGCCACTCTTCTCTCTCTCTGGCAAGTCAGCAGTGCCTAGACCACTGGTGCCCCACCCCTGGAGTACCAGGGCCCTGCTGCTCAGTTAGAGGCAGCCGCAGCAGCACTCAGCACAGAGCTGCTGTTTGTTCAGGCTGTGTCAGCCAGAGCTGCACCAGGGACAGACCCACCACATCCTGCTGGATCCCTGCTGCAGCCCAGCTCTGCCTCCTGCAGCACCTACCACTGCAGCTCAGGATGGCCCAGCACAGCCTGCAGGGCAGTTCTGGCTATAGATGGGGAAAAAAGTAC